AAGTTACAAGCTAAAATATAGATGTACGTATAACAAAAATAAAGAAATTAAAATTTAATTCATTACAATATTCAAATTAATTTGAAATATCGTTCATTTCAATTTAGGTAATATTGTTTATAAAATGCATACATATTTTATAAACACTAAAGCAATTTATCCAAGCCATTAAGTTATTATATCCACCAAAGAGTATATATATATATATATTTTGCTCAAGCCACAATATCAAATTTAAATTTAAATTTGGAATATGCGTATGTAGTAAGAGTGGTGACTATTCTAGAATAGATATGTATTAGAAATACAGATCACCACTAATGTTGTCAGATAAAACCTTTTTGAAAATGACAAAACTCAAAATTATATAAAATCTGTAACCTCTATAAAGACAGATTTTTTATAGATGGTAAAATTTTAGACAAACATTAAAGCCTTTCATAAAGAAAAGTATTTGGTAAAAGATAAATAAAGCCTTAAAGGCTATGTTATTGTATTGATATAAAGGTTATTCTGAAATAAATTTTAATTAAAAAATTATTATTGTTAAGATGCGAAGTTATTATTTGGATGCAAAGCCATCGTTTAAATATGAAACTATTGCTTAGATGCAAAGCCATTGTTTTTATATAGCTCTTAATAATTGAAAACGATGCTATATTTTTTAAATACAGAATTATAATTTTTGAATTGTACTATTGTTTGGATATAATGCTATTATAGTTTAAATGAAATGCTATAAATTTTAATTAATATAAAATTAATTAAAGTTATATTTTAAATACTGCGCATATATAAATCGTGGATGCAAAATTTAATAGTGATAGTGAATAATTATGTAAGGATAGATTAGAGAAAAAATATATAAAAACAACAGTTATATTGTATTCAAGTTTTGTAACAAATTATATTAACTATAATATTGTAAAAATCATAAAGTTTCGATATTATTAAAGATTAAGTATCTGATTCAATATTTAATAAGCAGGTAATTAACAAAGAATCAAATTAATATATGTAATTTTTTGTTTTAACAATAAAAAATATTGAGATTACTTGTAATTAGATATATAATAATATAATATTTATATATAATTAATTTTTTAAAATAGATTATAATAAGTATTAACAGTTCATAAATTAAGTACACATATAAGTAATTAATATTTAAATTTTATATTAGGTTAAATTTAAATATCAAATGTTATTAAGGTTAGAATAAATTTTTGAGTCAAGGTAGAAATTTGCAACATTATAATTATTTAACAAATATATATTAGTTAACTAATATATAATAAGTAAATAATTTATAATATTAAAAAAAAAATTTTATTGGCTTATCATTATTGCTAAAAGCAGAGTAGTTATTACTTTACAAAAATCTATCAAAATCGAACTTGCAAAAAATAAGCAAGTTAACAGTGCTGATAATGTATTATTAAAATACAAGTTTTTGCAAATATAAGCACTTTATTAGCTTTTTTTTATTATAATTTAGTTTTATAAATATATTTGTCAATTATTATTCTAATAAAATGCCAATATTAGCAGTATATTATCAATATTTAAGTAATAATAAGGGCCTAAAAATAACCATTATTTAACTAATTTATTAGGTATTTAAAGGTGCTAATAATGAAATAATCTCGCAATAAATTATTAAAATTGCTAACATAGTACTAATAATGCACTATATATTGCTTATTATTGGCAAATAATTACATATCTTGAAATTGTCAGATTTTGTAAAGTAGTTTTTCATACAATCAATATTTAATAATTTATTCAGTAACAAAAAGGCTTAATATTAATAAAAGCATCAAATTTAAATTATTTTTATCAAATAAGTGTAAATAATCATAAAATAATTATTCAAGTTGAGAATCAGCAGAAGTAGCAGATGATGTATCTAATCTATCTGGATTAGCTAACGCTTCTTTAGCCAGGTCTGATACTTTGCAATTATTTCTGGTACGTTTATATGGAGGAGATGAAGTTTTGGATGAGGATGATGCTTTACGTGAACGTGAAACTTTAGATAAAGATTGAACTTTAGATGAGGATGAAGCTTTAGACGGAGACACAACCTTAGATGGAGACATAGCTTTAGACGGAGATAAAACTTGAGATGAAGACGAAGCTTCAGATGGTGATACGGTCTTAGGCAGAGATGAAGCTTTAGGTAAAGATAGAATTTCAGATGAAGATGTGATTTTAGTTCGTTTAGCATTGTTATTTACTCTTTCAGCTATTGTTTGGTCAACACTGGTCTTGTTTGTTTTATCTGGGTCTTTTGATTCCTATAAAGGTGTTACAGAGGCAGCTGCACCAATTCTCTTTTTTTGACCACCATTTGGAAAAGATATAGATTTAACATAAACATAATTAGTATTATCATATAATATGAGTTCTCCATTAATATACAAAACTGAATCCTTCTTAATAATTTCAGTTACATGTATTAAATGCGGTGCAGATGTTGAGTAATAGCATTTCATTGAAATTTTTATCAAATCTTGATCTATATGATCGTGCATGATAACTAACATGGTAACATCATCACTAATGGTTGGAGGTTCTTCTACAACTGCAGTCATATTAATTAAAATTGGAAATTCTGGGAGATTGTTTGGTTTTATATTAAGATGGACAAGATCATTCAAAACCATCTGTATTAAAATGAAACCTCCAAAAAATCATATATATTTTTAATTTTAAAATACAATAGCATTGATCAATTATTATATTTAGAAAATACAAATTTATAATTTTTTAGTATAAATAAAGAAAATAATATATATACTATTTATTATTTATTTTTTATTATTAGATTAGCTCACCTTTAAAGTAGGAACTTTTTCATTTGTTTCATTAACATATTCTACAATACGGAATTTACCAGTTGCGATAACTACATCTTCAACATCAAATGAAGGAAGGCTTAATTCTTCGGATGTGCCTTGTGGATAAAATCCTTTCAAAAAAATTTTTAATGGGGAGTCCAGGCTTCGAGAACGAATAACTCCTGAAGAGTCAGATATAAACATTGAATTGGCAGAACTTTTACGATGTTCAGTAATATAGCACAACACAGTAACATTGCCGGGCATATTTAAATTTTTCTTTATAATTTTTTTTTTTTTTGTAAAATTTTTTTTTTTGTAAAAAAAAAAAGAAAAAAAAATTTTTCTTTATTTTTTTTTAAAGAAAATTTTTTAAATAAATAATCCAAGCCTGAAAAGTAGTGAGCATAATGCT